ATAATGGTCGACCAAACACTAATAGACTTTGCATAGACATTCAATAGAATTTCATCAAAATAAAAAACTGAGATTGTTTATTGAATTTTTCAATCTGTGATCATTTTTCAATTACCTTTGCTCGGTCACTCTTGTGAGTTAATTATTTTGATTTTTTTCGCAATAATTATTAATTTCCACGGTTTAAGTGGATGAATTTTCGATCACTCAACAGTGGGATCGCTATTTTGAAGAAAAAAAAGTCAACAAGATATGGAATGGTGGAATTTAAATTTCTTGTTTCCGTCCTTTTTTAAGGCCAGAAATCTTCTAAATTTAAAGAAAACTGTTACTTGCTGAACATTTAATTCCTCCAAGAGATGCAGAAAACGCAATTAAATTTTTTAAATATTAATTAGGGAATGTTCAAACAATATTAACAAAAATTTAAAAATCTTTCTACCCATGTTTTGTAATTCGTTTGTTGCCGAAATATTCAATTCAGAGTGATTTTTTTATTAAACGGAATTTTATGTGGAAGTTGATATAGAAAAGAATGAACAATTGATATTTTTTAACAACGCAAAATAAAGCAGGAAAAATATTCGTATTTTTCTTCCAAAAATTCAATTTTGTGCGTTGACTGATCTAACAATACCCCCACACACACCCAAGCGTTGTGACTTCGCCCCTCCGATTTGCACCATACCAGAGGACACCTTTTTAGTCCAGGCAAATTAGGTCTAACATATGTGTTTTATAAAGCCAACACGCTTTTTATGTAGAAATGTGTGTTTTCGTCGTGTGATTAACGGGCATGTAATTTTAAGTGATTTAAGTTTGTGCATTCCGAGAAAAAAATTAAAAACTACCCTCAAAAATGGTTCTTCGCGATTAACTTGAAAAGTACATTAGATACAAAAAAACAGGTCGAATATAATTTGAAGAGCAAAATATTTCCCATAAAAAACATATGAAGTACTTCGTCCCTATTTTGTGTCGTTTAACCCCTACAGCCGTTAAAATGAACGATAGGAGAAAAAAATTGATAAAAAACTGAAAAAATTTCATTTTTCAATTTCAAATAATGGTAAAAAATATTAAAAAACCGGAGTCATTATATTCTCATAACAACATAATTTAATTGAAAAAATTACTATGAAATATGAAGGGTAACTTCTAATCCAATTGATGAAAAATTTTTTTTTTCCTCCATCATTTTTATTCTTAAATATGAAACAAAGTTTATCTAGACGCGATTTTCCGATTCCATCCCTCAATATATCTCCGCGCTGAGAACCTCTACTCCGGGAGTCCACTATATCTATATATATCGCATGCGTTGCCAGCTACTGTGACGTCACATTTATGTTGTGTTTGTGCGCGGAATGACAACATTGGATATTTGTAAGCCCGAAAATGATGGAAAGACACGTGTAACTCTTTTCGCCAATTAACCTGTCTCTTTCCATTCCTACCTCTCTTTCTCTCTTCCTTACTCTTTCAAGCAAGGAAGATAGGTGAATAATAAATGCTAAATAATGATAAGTGATGATCAATTCATCTATAATTAATCAACAATTATCATTTATTAAATTATTATTCAGATTCGCACGAAGAAATTCGCTATAACCATTTTCAAAAAATCATTGAATTTCAATTGACGCGAAAATTAAAATAGTTTTTGATGAATAAATCAGTACAATTATGAACATTTTGTGGCAAATATCTCATGCTATTGAATCAATTTCATTTTTTCTAGAAATGTTCGTCTTATAGTACTCTATAAGTTCAGTGAATCAAAAGTTTTTGACATATATTAATTTTTATGTTTTTCGAAAAAAAACCTTTGTATGCAATCTTTGATTTTTCAAAATCAACTTATCTCAACTTAACTTAAAATTCGGTAGAAAGTCGCCTCTTACGATCGCAGTGGCTCTAATGGGTTAAATTGAGTTATTCATCTTGGGCATATTGCCATTTTTCTTTTTTTTGCAAAAAATGGCTATTGGAGCAATTTCTTGTTTATAAACTCATAAATATATATACATTTTTTTAAATACTCAAAATCCAGTTCAAATCGACAATTCTCATCAGCAGATTCCTCCTGAAGCTCATCTTGATCGCTCTCATGTTCGTCTGGTACATCGTCATCTTCTTCTCCGTCAATTTCGATCTCGAAATCAATCCTTTCTTCGTTCCGGACTCTCGGTGGAAAGGAATTCCCTGCAGTTTCCTTTTCAAAAATTGCCCTGATGATGACAACTGCTCTAATCAACCACCGAGAGTCCGGAACGCAGAGGGGATTGATTCCGAGAGCGAAATTGAAGAAGAAGTAGAAGACGATGGACCAGATGAACATGAGAGTGCGGTCAAGATGAGCTTCAGGAAGAATCTGCTGATGAGAATTGCCGATTTGAACTAGATTTTGATTATGTTAAAAAATGTATATATATTTAAAATTAATTCTTCACGAATTTGAAAAAAAAAGTGTTGTAACCTAAACATGTATGTAGAAAACTAATTAATTTTTCCAGATAATGATCTGCTATCCTCATGATCATCCTTCAATTTCAGTGTGCGATATCAGGAAGTCTCTGATTAAAAATACAATGTCTTTTTTTATATCCAGCAAGAAATTGCTCCAATAGCCATTTTTTCAAAAAAAAAGAAAAATGGCAATATGTCCTAAATGAATAACTCAATTTAACCCATTAGAGCCACTGCGATCGTAAGAGGCGACTTTCTACCGAATTTTAAGTTAAGTTAAGATAAGTTGATTTTGAAAAATCAAAGATCGCATACAAAGGTTTTTTTTCGAAAAACATAAAAATTAATATATGTCGAAAACTTTTTATTCACTGATCTTATAGAGTACTATAAGACGAACATTTCTAAAAAAAATGAAATTGATTCAATAGCATGAGATATTTGCCACAAAATGTTCATAATTGTACTGACTTATTCATTAAAAACTATTTTAATTTTCGCATCAATTGAAATTCAATGATTTTTTGAAACTGGTTATAGCCAATTTCTTCGTGCGAATCTCAATAATAATTTAATAAATGATAATTGATGATTAATTATAGCTAAATTAATCATCACTTATCATTATTTAGCATTTATTATTCACCTATCTTCCTTGCTTGAAAGAGTAAGGAAGAGAGAAAGAGAGGTAGAAATGTAAAGAGACAGGTTAACTGGCGAAAAGAGTTTCACGGGTCTTTCCATCATTTTCGGGCTTACAAATATCCATTGTTGTCATTCCGTGCGCAAACACAGCGTAAATATGACGTCACAGTAGCTGGCAACGCATGCGATATATATAGATATAGTGGACTCCCGGAGTAGAGGTTCTCAGCGCGGAGATATATTGAGGGGTGCAATCGGAAACTCGCTTCTATCTTCTAAAATATAAGGGATGGATAAAAATGTTTTAGATAAACTTTATTTCATATTTAAGAATAAAAATTATGGAGGAAAAAAAAAAATTTTTCATCAATTGGATTAGAAGTTACCCTTCCTATTTCATAGTATTTTTTTTCCATTGAATTATGTTGTTATGAAAATATAATGACTCAGATTGTTTAATATTTTTTAATATTATTTGAAATTGAAAAATGAAATTGAAAAATGAAATTTTTTCCATTTTTTATCAATTTTTTTCTCCTATCATACATTTGAACGGCTGTAGGGATTAAACGGTAAAAAATAGGGACGAAGTGCTTTATATGTTTTTTATGGGAAATATTTTGCTCTTCAAATTATATTCGACCTTTTTTTCGGTATCTAGTGTACTTTTCAAGTTAATCGTGAAAAACCATTTTTGAGGGTAGTTTTTAATTTTTTTCTCGGATTGCACAAACTTAAATCACTTAAAATTACTTGCCCGTTAATCACACAACCAAAACACACATTTGTACATAAAAAGCGTTTTGGCTTTATAAAACACATATGTTAGACCTAATTTGCCTGGACTATTTTGTAGTCATTGGCCTGATTGGGGTTGGAAGCTAGGCGGACACCGAGAGCGCACTTGGCCCAGGCCTGGTCTATCCGATGGGATGGAAAATGTAGCAGATATACTGATTTCTTTTACATTTTTTCGAATGGTGTTTCTGACAGCATAGAGTTTTTACAATTTCATCTGGTTCTCACTTTCGAGATCTTAGTGAGATCTTCAAATTCGTATACAATAGAGTAATATTAATCGAGTCTGAACGTCCGAAAATGAGAGAAGAAGAAGTCGCTGATTGCATAGTTTAATTTATCGTTTTCTTATTTCATTATAGTTTGTTGGAAATGCGGACGGAGAAGAGCTGGGATACTGCAAGATCACGTAGTAAGAATGAGAATTTTGAATTTTATGAGCTCGCTAAAATACTACGATTGCCCACTGCCATCATCTCGCAATTGGATGAGGCATCGATCATAAGCTTGACAATTTTATACCTCAAATTACATAATGTCTCGGAGCAGGCAGATCCACCATGCAACAGAGACACGCCTCCACCTAACAAAATTAATCCGCCGCTTCTGTGTTTATAAATCTACCAGAATTGATACTTTTCCGCGCTTCCTAAAAAGAGAAAAAAAATTTCAAGTCGGACAAACCACGCAAAATCGTTCCCCAGGTGTACGGATTATACAACGAGAGATCCTAAACTGAAATGAAGAGAGTCGGTCAGATGGCCGATTCTTCTGTAGGACAGGACTAAGCCTTTTATTGTATCCGAAACTTATTTTAATCGAATTGTTTACTCTTTATCGACCAATCGCGAAATGGGTATTTTCAAATTTTTCCATGAAATTGTAAGCATAACAAAATCTGATTAATAAAAATACCTCAATTAGAAGGTAAGTTTCACCGGTATATTCTGTTCTTATTAACCAATAACGTGGACTATTCAGAAAAAATACCGGCTTTATTCAGCGAATTTCTCCACATATGATCATATTCTTTCAAAGAAATGCTTTTTATTGCGCGAAAGAGAACAGGTACCATAAAACAAACTTACAGTTTCTTCCGGTTTATTATGTCAGGAATTACCACAGCAAGATTTCAATTCTGACGATTTCCAAAGTATCTCTAAAAATTTTGACACCAATCTAGAAAAAATGTATAATGATAAGGAATTTTAATAATTTATCAATAATTTTCTAAATACAAATATCACTTTTTCTTTCAAAACTCGATTCATTTTCAACAATCGGTGAATAAAAGTAATTACAACAGCGATGAAATTGATGATAGTTGTTCATCCACATTCTGTCGAGTTTTCAATGATTGATAATGGTTATCTTTTTCTTTCGTTTCGAATGGAAGCTTTGTAATCATATCTTTTTTTGATTTGTTAATTTTCGATAGAAACATGTTTTTAAATAATGTCCGTAACTTAAAAAATAATTAAGATGGAAACTTGAAATTTGGTCTGATTGTAAATCTCATGACGACAAAGTTTTGTATTGAATGTCAAAAAAATTCAGCCGTTAGTTTCGCATATATTAAACTTTATAGGTGTAACTCTTTTCCTTAATATCTAAAAAACGAATAGTCTTATTATTGTCAATGATTTGAACGGCTTAATAAAAATAGCTAGTACCCATTACTAATAAAATTGATTCAGTCTTTTTCGTGACAGTTATTATTCAAGTACGTTCATATGAAAATTAAAGGTAAATATATAGTTTAGGTTCACCAACAACAATAATCATTGAAATATTAATTTCTCTGGCGAAAAATCCATTCTTATCCTCTCAGTTCCCATTAACAAGATTAAAGAAGAGAGTGAGAAACAACAAGGAGGTAAATGCATCGAAAAATACTCCTGAGGTAAATTCTGTTGTCCCTGAAATTCCTTAATCCCCCTGCTGACACTGTTGACATGACGGGTGAGTGATATTAAATTGAACATTTTGAATTGCTACAGAAGGGTAGCGGCAGATAAATCACTCGTTGTGTTCAGTTAGCGATGGTAGATGGTCGGGTGAGGTGAATTCAGAGTTTTAGTGAAGTGTTCAGGAATATTTGATGAAATCCATCTTTCTGTGTGTCCATTGTCTATAAATGTGCCAACATGTGGTGTCTTTGGGGCCAATATACCGCCACGTCCTCATCGTGGCCCGTAAAGAACCGTGTATTAAATGTCATATTTCCCATACTAATTGTTTCCGGCTAAAAAGGTGACCAGATCCTTCATTTGGTGACGGAAACCGATCTAATCAAATAAAAAACATCCAGAATGGTATGGTGGAGCTGAACTAAAGATTTATCAAATTAAGTGTTCTCTCAAGTAGTTGGGAGATAATTTCCATAATTTTTCTACAACTTGCAGCAAATTTTGTTTCGTATTTTCATTCTTGGTGAGCAAATCATTATACACATTCATAAGAGCCATACTCCATTCAACAATATCGATCGGACGATCTTGAAAGCTATGATAAAATCATCTGTTTGCTCCCAAGTGGTTGGATCGCTATCAAAGAAGTCAAAATCTATTCCCAGAATTTGAAAAAACATCTAGAGAGAAAGATAGGATGTCATGGGCTGACATATATTCCTTTTGCAGTCCACTCTGCAGTAACATTTCTTCATCGGCCCAGCAAAACTTCGTTATCGGCCAAATAAAAATTCATAGTCGTCGCAACAGTTACCATTATTAAATTCAACTTCGGCAAGAATCGGAAACATTCGACGTTCATTGCTAACCAATCATATTGGGTTAAAAAATGTTTGGAGAAAATGCTGTGTAGCACAGTAAAAATTAAAGGAGAGCACAATAAAAAATACCGATCTGGATAGGAATTTTCGAACGATTTCTATCAATTTTTCTTTCAAACTCAAACAAAAAATGATAGAATTTCAAATTTTATAGTGCTGTTTAGTAAATTTTATGGAGCCACACATGATTAATTATGGAATGTATAAGAAAATTTGACATATGGATAGTAATTTTTATGTGTGAATCAAAGAAGTTCTAGTATTCTAGCATTTTGCACCACGATTGTAGTGCTCGGCACAGTAATTTTTCTTGGACTTTTCTCTCCGTGTATGGCCTAAATATTCGGAAGTAGGGTATTTGTACATTATTATATAATTTAGGGGTATTAGTTGGTATTTTACTTGTCTACGAAAATTACGCCAAATTGTTATATATAATAGAAGCACATTTTTGTCTCCGGAATTTCTTCGTTTTTTATATTTTCAAATGTACTCTATTTTTTGAGAACGTTAAATCGGGTCGAAGATGAAAAACCATCACTTTTAGTAGATTTTTTTAAATTTTCTATGTAATGAGACATCAGAAAATATTCCTGTTAGTGGCTGAGGAAAATGTGGATTGAAAATACACATTGAAAGAAAATGTACTATTCGCTTTCTTTTTGAGAGAATTATATTTTAAACCAAAATTATAAAGAGATCAGAACGGCTGATAACATACCCCAATAAATATCTTAAAAAATTTGAGGTCCGCTTGAGATGAGTACGCACACAAAACATGATATTCAAAATACGCGATTTAAAACGTAATTTACGTAATTTCTGATTTCGCACATTCTCTACTAGAAATTGTATACGGAATGCTGCTACTAACCTTCTATTTTTCTATTCCGATCGAGTTTGTGGTAGTAAAATAGTAATAGTGGTGTAATTCACGATAGGGGTCATCGTAGTTTACGAGGTCAGAATCGTAATTTATGGGATCAACCTCATAATTTATGACGTAACAATCGTAATTTACGGTACAAAAGCAGAAATTTACGATTTTCTGGGCGTAATTTACGTGGTTTTAGCTTACAATTTACGTTTGCCAGCCCGTAATGTACGTGATCAAAAATCTCGTAGATTACTATCTAAATCGCGTACTTTAAGAATAGTGTTTTTTGTGTGTATATCTGGAGAAAAAAAGATGGAACATATAAAATTCCGTAAAGATTTTACCATAATTTTTTTTATTAGAACAGCCATACAATTATCTACAAAAATGATAGTCGAAAATAATTAAAATTAGAAGAAATATACGATGTTCTAGTTAAAAAAAATAAAACCAGTAGTACATTTCAATTGAACGATAAATATTTTTTCAAAGATTTATGATGTCATCTTTTATGACTCTGAAAGAATAGCTAGTACAAAAAGCGCGAATAGTATCTTTATATTAACGTAAAGGAATTAGGGCATTTAGAGAGAAAAGACCAGCGATAATAATAAAATACAATTGTAATTGGGCATTGTAATTTCGAAGGTAAACTAATGTTCTAATCGAAATGCAGATGATCTCAAAAACCATTAGATTTCATGCTTAAGGTAGCAATATGCTTAAAACTGGGTGAGTTTAAATACATTGCATATAAAATTCGATACACTACAAACTGGTATTGTGCATTTAAGGCAGCACTTTAAATTAAAGAAGCTAGAGAGAGAGATCCCGAAGTTTATAGGGGGGCGCTAGTGTTGACGATCGGAGGTGTTAAAATAAGTATTCAATAGTAAAGAAGCGCCTTCACGCATTCACCACCGAGAAACATGTTGGGTTAATATGCTCCTACACTGGTGCAAATGAATCACGTATACTAAGAACAGACTATTGAACCAAGTGAGAGAGGAAGGGAAATGCGTGTAACTTATGTTGGTAGTATGGTGGAAGTTGCTGGTTAGTATTTGTTGAAACGTCGCGCGAGTTCTCGGTCAGGGCTGGTTGCCAGGGAAGAAGAGGGGAAGAGCATGGGGTCAATGTCCAGGCGGCGCCTAAGATCCTTCCCCTCGTGAGACAGTTGGGGCAGGTCGTGATCAAGCATTACGACGAGAAAAAACGATTGCATTACTCTTCCAGTTTAATGTGTCCAGAGAGATAGAAGATCATCTTTGAATCTATTGATGATGTTCGTTGTTTGATATGATATAATTCAATGATATGTCGACAAACAAATCGGATGGAGAAAATAATCGTGTAAATTAATTAAAGTTATTACGAAAAACCTATCCAAAAAAGAAAAAACAAATAAAAAAGGGTCTTCCTTCCATTAAAACGTAGCACTACCTATGCTCTATGAAACCACCAAGTACATCTAAATATTTTCCAAGTTTTTATATATATGTATATATATAGATGGATAGATAGATAGAAATTTTAATTTTTCAATTTTTAATTTTAATTTGTTTTTATTTTCGATAGGTATTTTTCTTCGATATATACATAAAATTTAGCCAGGCATGACTAAGTTATGATTTTCTCTTGAAAGATATTATAGAGTCCAAGGATGCAGCTCAATCAGGCATTGAACTCACCCAACCCCATGTTGAACACTGAAGCGAATTACACGTATTAATTTCCTGCATAGACCGCGTACAAACCCGTTACAAACTACGGTGATTATCCTCAAATTCTCAGGCGGATCTTGAAAAGTCATGGATTTGTCAATGAGCGGAAACAATTACAAGAACTCATCTGACGACGAATACTACAGACTCTGCATTCCTAAAATAATCTGCGCAAATGTAATTTCGAAAGATGTACGTTAAGGTGGCGAGCGGTGAGTCGAGGTCATGGACCTGCTTTGGTAGAAGCTCTGAATAGATGTTTCTTAAAATTTTTCGAGCCTCATCTTCGTTCTATACGAGACTTCAAATTGTTGTCTTCAGAATTCCTGGCCCCTTTCCATTGTTTCCTATATTATAAAGTGAACATTCCTTTACGTTATTTTCTATTCTGCCAAGGACGAATCGGTGGAACTCGCATACGATGGTTATCAATTGGTTTTCATCTCATCTTACATGGCGAATTTAAATTCGGAAGTAATTTAATTTTATGATTTTTATCATTACAGCGCGCTGTCACTCGGACTATTTCGTTTTTAACATGTGTACGGTTTAATATTGAATGGGTATATTTTGCCAATGGGGGCCAAGTTATATGTCATAGACAAATGAGGATTTTTTTTTTCTATTATAGAATCTGCAATTCATAACCAGCATTCCGATAAAATAAAGAAAAAACATTGATTTTCCCTTCACTGCGTTAACATGAACGTTTCGGTTTCTGCTTACTTTGCAGTGAATCGGTTATCTTTAGACGTAACATAAAGTTTGAGTGTATCGTGGGAATGAATGTGAAGGAGAGGGACGTTGCCACCAGTGGCATCTTGATCAGGAAACCGTATGGAAACAAACACGGTTGAAAAATTAAATTCGACCTTTTTTTCATCTCTGCTGAAACTCTTTCCTCATTTTTCAATGCAAAGAATCAAATCGTACATCACAAAATCACACATACCTTGCTGTTAACACTAGTAATCAGGTTCACGGTCTTTTCACAAGTGATACACTAAGGATAAATTGATGTTGCTGCACTGTGTTTGTAACTGAGTCCCGTAAAATTTCAAGAAATTGAACCATAAAAAGAAACAATTGTCACTCCTGTGAACATCGAGTAACTCCAGGAGAACAATTTATCAAGAGAAACGGTAAAATAGTAGCACAATATAATAAAATCAACGTAGCTAGTGGATCGGCTGTAGATACGATTCTGTCGGCGTGGTAGCTACGAAGCTGGATTTTATAAACCCATCGTAGTTGTTGTCTGGTATAACGTGAATACTTCATAGGAACTCAGGGATTCGTTAGGTCTGTTGGAAGCATTCACGGGGATTGGACGGCCGAGTAGCGGTACTGCATGGTTGCTCTTCAACCACATCAGCTTGTACAGGCATCTTCCTGTTCCACCTCTCTTTAGCATTGTATCTTCAACCGTATCTTTATTTCCCCTTCTTTTCTTATTCTTTCCTTTACTTCACTGTATGGATAAGAACATCCATATCCAGTGGAATCTAACTTGTTATTCCTAATAATTGGGAAACAGTGATATTTTACCGTTCATTTTTCATTTTGTTTGTCTTTGCGGAGACTGTTAGCTAGTTGGCAGTGATCATAACTGCAAAAATTCCTGGGAAAATCCTTCGAATGAGTGGTGTATACCCTGCTTTTTTTTCATAGGCATATTCCTTTTTTTGGAGAAAGCATATTCAGCCTTCGATACCGGATAAGTCTAAGCTCTGCACATCTTGGATGTACATTGTATAGTATTAATCTGTGGATATAATTCTCATTACTTTATCCCTGTTATTCATGTTAACCAGCATGACATGTGTATTCTAATTCTACTTTTGAAGAAAACTATCTTATAGAGACAAAAATTGAAGGGAAATCACTACCTTTGAAGGAAAAATCACTATTTTTGTAATTACAAACGAGTTGCAAAAATGGTGATATTTGAGAAGAATAGTCTGGATTTCGATATTTTGTCGATGTGTCCGAAAACACTTGGAAACATTGGAAACTACGTATTAACTGTTGACAACTCTATAGAGTAGCAAAGAATCAATCTAGTATTGGACAGTAACTTTTCTTTTACAACTGTACATGCTATCATATTCATAAATAATGCACCATATCCTGATCCTATATATTGTTATGTTCAAAAATCTAGATACATAGTTTTGCCTGCAGGGTCCATAGGTATGAATTATTGTGAATAGGTCCAATAAATACTAAATCCTACTCTCAATTAATCAGGTCAATTTCACCATCACGGAAATAACATACACAATCATCAGAATGTATCCGCCCCATTCCCTCTAGACGATCAGTTCTTGCGAAGACTTTCTGAAAGAAACTGTCTAAGCTCTTGTTTATCCTTACATCGATCGTCTCACAGTAACTTCTATCACCGACTTAGCAATCAAGTAGGGGAAGGTAGCGCAAGGTGGGCTGCGGGGCAAAATGGACCGGTAACAATTAAAAAAAATTGCTGATAGGATAATTATAGGATAATTCTTTCAGCTTGCTTGTCAGCAAGTTTATTTCGAGAAATTGAACGTTTTACGATCATTCCTTGACCTGGTACTTTGGGTTTTCGAGACGTGTGGAAATTACAATAATCCTAGATGATCTTAGATTAATCTTAGAAAAATTTCCTACTCATTTTTTAAGGTTCATGTTGTTTTTCTTTGTCACAGATCCTAGAAATGGTGAAAATTTTTTTATAAACCTAAAGAAAAACACTAATACTAACCTTCAAATGATACGAATTAGGCAGCACTTTCGCCGCCCCCCCCCCCTCGCCCCTCGAGTTCGGTCATATCCGAGTATCTCTCATATGCTGGGCATTTCTTCTGCAGAAGAAACTTACAACCCTAATCGTTTCTCTCTACAATTGAAGAGGATTATTATTATCATTACTCTTCTTCTTTCCCACTCCTTTCACTCCTTCAAAAATACGCAGCTGTGTCCTTTTTTTGCGCTAATTCAACTTTGTATTTTTTTTCGGCCGTTCAATATTATTATAATTATAAATACTGAACCCATTAATTGTTAAACAAAAAATCAACTTAATTCATAAATAATTTTTAAAACCTTTGAAAAATTATTATACAGGATGTAACTTAAAAACTGTAATACCTCCCGACCACGAGTTCAGGGACCACTCCTGAACACTAGAAAAATAGGAAAAAAAAAATTTACTCTACTCATTTGAAATAATTAAAAATTAACGAGGGCCAATGAGAGGGCTGAGTTATGGCGCGTAAGTGTGAGTGGTAGAATTCGAATGAGATATGACAACAGCGTGTGAGAGATGTCGGGAAATGAAAGAGGTAGTAGAATACCACTGCTCTGCCGTGAATTTTGGGACGACACGCATATAGCATAGAGTAACAACATGCATGGGTCTTGTTCAAAATCCTCTATGTATTCCGTTTACGAATTCCAGAGGAATTTTTCAGTTTTTAAAGGGGGATTCCCTAGGAATTCCTTAAGATTTTCAGAGAGATTCCTCGGGATTTGAGGCGGATTACTCATAATTTCCTAAGGAATTCATCTGCAAATTCCTAAGGAATTTATCTGCAAACTCCTGATGAGTTAATTTGGAAATCCGAAGAAATTCATTTTGAATTTATGAGGAATCTCTCTGAAATTCCTAAAGAATCCCTCTGGAATACCTAAGAAATCATTCTGAAATTCGTAAGGAATCTCTCTGGAATAAACATACCCGGTAACTATCTAAAGAAACATTATTTTTATGGTTGCATTTGACAGTTAGGAAGACCCATGCATGTTGTTACTCTATGCTAGATGCGTGTCGGCCCGAAATTCATGGCAGAGCAGTGGTACTCGAGTACCTCTCTCATTTCTCCACGTCTCTCACACGCTGTTGTCATATCTCAGTCGACTTCTACCCCTCACACTTACGCGCCATAACTCAGCCCTCTCATTGGCCCCGTTAATTTTTAATTATTTAAAATTGGCCAAGTAAATTTTTTTTTTCCTATTTTTCTAGTGTTCAGGAGGGGTCCCTGAACTCGTGGTCGGGAGGTATTACACTTATAATATTACACCCTGTATTGTTAATAATAAGATATAAATATAATACGAAAGTACCGACGTGCGGTGGCCGTGCGGTTAGAGCGTAAGAGGTTAGCACATGAGATTCGTGGGTTCGATTCCCAGTCAGGGAAATACCAGGGGTTTTTAGAGATAGAATTCGCTCCAACTTGCACAGGTTTCATCGTACGAGCGGTAGTCTCGAACGAGGCGACTGTACCTGGCCAAGGTTTTTTCCCATGAGGTTTTCCCTTCGCCCCTCGGCGCAATTGCGGTACAGGGGGAACTGGGGATGGGAAATGTAAAAGCCCGAAAGGGTATACATGTGTGGACAAGTTTAGTTAGTTTTTATAACACGAAACTCCTACATGGCCACTGTTATCATACGGTAAATTTCATATTTTTTTAAGACAAGTATTTTTATATGTTTAAGATTTCTATAAATGTATGACAAATAAATACCATGTTTAAAAAAAAGAAAATCAGGCGCACACAATTTTTCCATTTTTTACCATGTCTTAAACGATTTCTCTCAAACTACGGTCGCAAGTGCCTTGATTTGTTTCCAATGTATTCATCTCCTAAAACTCGATACATTTGTAAAATTCCGAGAGGATGGTCTTGATGATCTACATGGTTTTGCAATAGCTTCTGTTCCGGTGATGCATCTTGTGACTTTTAGTACTACTGTTGTTCAATATCTAGAACACTAGTTCTAGGCATTTACTGTTCTTTTCTTTGTTTTCGTCCTATTTTAAAATTAATCTAGGATACTGTGCCGTCCGCCGAAAAATCAATTGTTTTATTTTCCCTGTAAATCTTTTTTTTTCAATTACGAGATTGCCCGCGCGGGCTCCGCGACGATCCTGCGGGGCCTTGTTCTATGCGAAAAAACGAAACTATTTTCCGTATCATATGATTTGGGACCTATTTTTTCCCCCAAAGGATATAGTCTTGAACCCCAAAACTATTTCAAAATGCCGCTACGTACATTTTCATTTTCATTTTCTCATGGCAGCGACATTTAGAAAACCTTACAAAAAATGCTTAAATGAATCATTCATTTTGCCCATTTGCCCTTTTGTGCAAAGTAGAAAATTAAACAAAATTCAGTGACCTCAAAATCATAATTCTTCATTTCTAATTACGTGATATTGTCAATTGATATTTAACAAAAGAATATTCCACCAAAAGAAAAATGGAAAGAAAATTGGAATTTCCTAAAGCATTCTCATTGGTCTTTGGGGGGAGAATGGTCAGCCTACACCCCAACTTTCCAACGCAGAAGGGACGGCGTTTAGCCATGGAATATTGGGATCGAAATACTTGGAGTGAGAAATTCTAAGCCAAGGTCAAGTACCATTGAACCGTGAATGTTCCTTCAGTGTAGCCTAAGGTCACAGCCTCACTACGGGGAACAAAACTGTTATAATGATTTTTTTCGGCGGCTGGAGCGAATACTCAATGAAACCCTAACCCGGTTGATCGAAAGCCAAAAAAGTGGCTAAAATTATCATTTTAGTTCTCGCGATGCCACCAATTCGAGGACAATCGGAACTTTAAAACCCAAAATGAAACTCCGTGAAGAGCGTAGTTGGAAAAGTATCCTGTGCGTAACTAGGTGATCCGGAGGTGAATTCTGGCTGGGAATAAACCTATCGGGATTTTTTCTTCCCGAAGTTCTTAATTTTTTTGAATTTTACCCACCTCTGGCTGGGTAACCTCAAGTAGGCTCGGATCTGCAGCCATAAAATTAGTAAGGTTTTAATTACAGGGATTGCAAGGGTTGCTCTATATTCGTGTGGTGAAGGTAACTTCGAAACATAGTGCTTGTACGCAGGTTACCAGACAGTTGTTTATTCCACAAATTCTTTTTGATTGTTCCAAAATAGAGTAAGTCACAGAAAACTGTGAATGAAATATCTACAACGTTGTTCGAAATGTGCCAATTCTTCGCGTGATCGACTTCACTCAATTAACTCTGACCGTATAAAATGGAAAAAACCTTTTGAAAAAAACCGCCGTTTGACAATTCCGCTTGTGCGTGGGTTAAGTACGAGAGGAAAATGCTTCGAATTTTTCCCCCATGATTATTACCTAAGAAATATCTAATTTGAATCACTATTTATTACTTGAGCTGATCATTACGATTATCATACCACATTTATCGTTAGAGTTGGATACACGTGAACTCTAAAGAGCCG